AAACTGTGATAATGTGTGAAATGTTGAAGGTGTCTGAATACATTTTGGTTTGACTGTACATCAATTTGATCATCAATAAAACAAACTGCTTTCAAATATGGCTTTTCCCCCAAAAAAAGTGGTCTCTTGGCTCAACTTGCCCCCAGTGCGGGGTAAATTGAGCCTAGGGAGAGGGTAAGTTGAGCCACATGGAGTTAAACTGTGCCACAAAGGACAGAGATGTTTGGATAATAGAATGGATGGATGGACGACTCCTTGAAAGTTTTATTTGAAGATACAGTTCACAACCTTGAAGTGATTTTTTAAATTATTTTTTACAATTTTAGAACAAAATAAAGTTCAAACTAAAGAAAAGAAAAAAGAAAAAAAAAAAACACTGCAATTGACCTTACAGATCTGGGCTAATAGTACTCAACTTATAAATGTTGCAGGGAAAACAATTTCATAAAAACTTCAATGGCCAATTTTCATAAACAAGGCCTATTTAAAACTGTCTGTACAAAATCAAGTTCAAAACAAAGAACACAATTAAGGGAGAGGGTAAGTTGAGCCACATGGAGTTAAACTGTGCCACAAAGGACAGAGATGTTTGGATAATAGAATGGATGGATGGACGACTTCTTGAAAGTTTTATTTGAAGATACAGTTCACAACCTTGAAGTGATTTTTTTTATTATTTTTTACAATTTTAGAACAAAATAAAGTTCAAACTAAAGAAAAGAAAAAAGAAAAAAAAAAACACTGCAATTGACCTTACAGATCTGGGCTAATAGTACTCAACTTATAAATGTTGCAGGGAAAACAATTTCATAAAAACTTCAATGGCCCATTTTCATAAACAAGGCCTATTTAAAACTGTCAGAACAAAATCAAGTTCAAAACAAAGAACACAATTAAAAATACCATGTAGATTTACAGTAAAATTATACTTTATAATCATAAGAAGGGGTGAGCCACTGGCTCAACTTACCCCATGATTTTCGGCTTAAATTACCCCACTCCTACCATTTTAACAAACTTGTATCATCTAAAAGTTTAGAGCTAACATCATGCTAACAGTATAGCCTCATATTATAACTTCCCAAAGCACAAACGCGTGTGATAATTTTTTCAGATTTGTCTGTAATTGTTCAGACTCAAGAAGCATGAGTACTTAAACATACAAAAATCACCAATAAGTTTTTTGAACCTAAATGTAGTTACCAATTATTCCATGGCCTTCTCTCCATCACAGGGTTAGTAAAATGGTTAAATCTGTATATATTTGTGGTCATATCACCAATCTAGAAACAAGGGGTGGCACAACTTCCCCACAGGCTCAAATCACCCCACTCTCCCCTATTTAATGTTTATTTAGGTGCAATGCCTTGTTCCATGTAAAGTGCATTTTTGTTGAAATTATTTTCTGTGGTAATTGATTGAGCTTAGCTTTTATTGAATCTGGAACATTCCCTTAATTGGCTGAGACTGACGATCATTGACAGCCATACAAATCTTGTCTTGCAACTCTCTGACAGTAGATGTGTGTGAGCGTGTGCAGTGATGCTATCGGTTATTATACGGCTCCATATCTCTTTGAGGTGTCTATCTGACGTGACACTCACAGCAGGAGTTCATCACTGTGAGCATGTCTTTGATTAAATGCCTCCTTCTCAGACTGTAGCTTTTAACCATCTCCTCTCTGTTTCAGACTGTTAAGGATCAGATAACTCACTGCACCATGAAGCTCCGGCAGACCACAGGAATGATGGAATTCTGTCTGGAGGTTATTAAAGAGAACGATCCCAGTGGATTCCTACAGGTACAAACAGAAAAAAAAGCAAAGATCAAAAGATCTGAAATAATAATGATTGTAATAATAATAATAATAATAATAGTAAAAAAATCCATATTTCAAATAACACCTCAACATTGGGATAGGAGCACTGGTACGTCCCTGTTATTATTCAGAAGTATGAATGAAACTTAGAGCCATGTAAGCTGTGGTTTCCGATGTGGTTTCCTCTGAAAGCATTTATCTGGTGTTCAGACTGGCCCTCAGCAATTAAACTCTTTCAATAATTTATGTTTCACAGCAGCGAACCTCTAAAATATAGAGACGACAGCACCAGATGAGCAACGCTGCCTCTTTACTGAATTTTTCATGAAGTATCGTTTTTCATTTTGTGATGTTTCTTTGAGTGTCTTCACAAAGCATGTAACGTGAGTCAGAGATGCCTGCCCAGCAGAGATTTCTGAACGAAAGAAGCAGTTGGCAGACAACAATGTATTTTGAGGATCAAGACAAACCGATGCACAAAGGAAAAAAGTGAATCGCTGAAACACTGTGCAGAATGTTATGGACTAGTGGCACCTTAGTCAGGGCAGCGCCATATAAAATTTTTGACAGGAATGAAAATGAGGCTATTTTCTTATATTTTCTAAGACATCACTGTTGATAATTATCATTTCTCTTCTCCTCTTCATTTCTTCCTTCTTCCAGATCTCAGATGCGTTGATCAAGCGTGTCCAGGCGTCTCAGGAACAGTGGGTAAAAGGTGCATTGGAGCCAAAGGTCTGCCCAGAATTCGCCTTGACCGTCAACACAGACCCTCTGATGCAGTCGATCCTCCAGCTGGACTTCACCCAGAATAAAGGTAACATGTGACACACACCTAAGAAATGAGATTTAACGTTTGCTGTTTGTGGGCACCAGTGTTGGGGGCATAACGATGCAAGCAACACACATTACATAATCATGTTATGGTTTGGATGTTTTGGTTTTGAGACCGTGAACACGCTGTGCATGTTTTTGCATTACGCCAGGTTCACACATACTCTGCAGTGCATATTTTTTTTCCGTGCCCATGTTAACAGATTAGAGTGTTCACCAAGCGGCAACCTTCCGGTCTCTCTTGAAACCAACACGGAAGTGACTTATGGGGCTTTTCCACTGCATGGTACGGCACGGTACGGCTCCGGACGGCTCCCCTTTTGGGGGTTTTCCACTGGGTACAGTACCTGGTACCTGGTACTTTTTTTAGTACCACCTCGGTTGGGGTTCCAAGTGAGCCGTACCGTTACCAAAACGTGACGTGTAAACTCTGCTGATCACGGATTGGCCGGAGAGAATCGTCACTACCTGCGTCACTGAACTTGCGAAACAAACACAAAAGAACCGCTAGATTTAAATCAGCACAGCCAGCGAAGGATAGAACGCAACTGTTTTGAAAAAGCGCACCTTTTTTTAACAACAAAAACGTTTTGTTGTCTGTTGCAGAAGAACAGACGTTCCTCTCGTTGATAGCAGAGGAGCGGATCCAGCGAGAGCTTGATGGGGCGACGCGGAATGAAAACGTTTTTTTTAGGAGTCGTGGTAGTAGAGGCGCGCAACTATAACGATGGAAACGCAAACCGTGTCGAACCGTGCCGTGCCGTACTGAGCCGTGCCGAGCCGAGTCGTACCACGCAGTGGAAAAGCGCCATTAAACTGCAATTCATCGACTGGCCACTAGAGGCTGGCTCCAAAAGGGTGGCTCCCATGTTAAAATTCCCAAATTTACAGCAGAAAAAAATATGTTAACAGCCTGGTACAAAAAGTGGTTTTGGTCTATATAGCTAATTTTGCCCTTCATTCCAGTAGCGGACCGCAAACACGCATCTGTGCTGCTTCTGCACTGCATACGAACCGCACATGGAATGTATACACACTGCAGATGTAGTATGTGTGAACCTGGTCTTAAAACAGATAGATGGAACACAGTAGAGCTGAACAGAAGATGCACTAAACGAAACAATGTTTATCAAATACCAACGAAATTAATACATTTATTCAGCAAGGACACGTTAAACTGATCAAAAGTGGCAGTAAAGACATTTATAATGTTACATTTCTATTTCAAATAAATGCTGTTCTTGTGAACTTGTTTCGAAGAAATGTTTCTTGAGAAGCAAATTAGCATATTAGAATGATTTGTCAAGGATCATGTGACACTGAAGACTGGAGTAATGATGCTGAAAATTCAGCTTTGCCATTGCAGGAATAAATTACATTTTAAATGGAAATGGAAAGCGCAAAAAAATTTTTTTATAACATTTCACAATATTACTGTTTTTATTTTATTTTTCATCATATAAATGCAGCCCTGGTGAGCATAAGAGACTTTAAAAAACGTCAAGCTTTAGACACTTTAAAAAAGAAGCTCTGCCTCTAATTAAAAAAAAAAAAATTAATTAAAAGTTTTGTTTTAAGCTAGTGTTTATACAGGTTCAGAAATATTTTCAAAAATGTATGGAACTTTTTTTTTTTGTAAAAATTCATAATTTATACAAAATTATAAAAATTTGTGTGATTAAACCATAGTTGCTTATTAATGAGTAACTAAAAACAGTCTCGACACTGGTGGTCACTGTAATAAAGCTAATAATATAATATGAATTTGTTTCAACGAGATTCATGTTTTCCATTTAGAATGTAGATTCTAGAATCTAAGGACTAGTAAACAACAGCTTAAAAAATGCAGTTAAAAAAATATTGGAAAATACAACCAATCTTGAAACTCAAATTGATTTCTTGTCAAGGATTCAAAAGCAAATTCCATCGTTCCCAGTTTCAGAGGCAATGATCCCCTCAGTTTTACCTCTAGACTCACACATGCAACACTTGCTTTGTCCAATATCATCTTTCAGATGGTCAGGAGGCTGCTTTATTGAAACAAATGCATGCAGGTGACCAGAAAGTGGAGGAGAGCACAGGAGGTATTTCAGAGCTGCTACAAACTGTTCCCCTAAAATACTGGACCCCTTCCAAACCCACAGTCCCTTTTCCTCTATTTGTTTTAGAGGCACCAGTGACTTTCAGGAAGTGCTTACTCCCATGCATGTCACTCCACCATTACCCTGTTTAACCTTCTGATGCCTCGGTGGATGACAGGCAATGCTCAAATGCTTGAATTCTGTCTTTTAGCGGAGTCCCCCACAGTGCCTCCTGCACCGCTGTTGCAGTTGGAAAAATGCTGCATGTGGAATAACAGCGCCACTCTGGCCTGGAGGATAACTATGGTCCAAGCCCTGCCTGTAGAGGGTTACGTGCTGGAGCTGGATGATGGAAATAGCGGGCCTTATCGGGTACGTCTTCAGCATTTTTATTTCCCCACTGAGATCATTCAGCAGTCAGGAAAACAAAGAGATCTCTTAATCAGTTTGTACTCTGAATGAAATCAACTCATGTGTACAGTTTTCATTCTTGTGCTGATATGTTTTATATTGAATCGAGACTTTTGGGCAGGTCATTTTAAAGAGCTTGTTCCTTTTTAAAGGGGACATCGGATGTAAAATTCACTTTTACATGGTGAAATTTGCATATAAATGTGTCTTAGCAGTGTGTGGACACAACCACCCTACAATGATAAAAATCCATTTGCTTCTTTTTTTTTTAATCCCCAAAAAACCTAAACAGTCTCAATTATCAAGCCGTTTTGTCATACTGCTCAGGCCCCGCCCTCGATTGCTGATGGACCATCCTGTATTAGCATATTTCCGTGCTTTGCCAGTTGTACGCTGTCTGTCATTTTCTCCGTGCTCGAGCAGCTGTAGCAACAAACAATGTCTCGTAAGCAGTGCAGGCGTTTTGTAGTTGGATGTAAAAGTGAACTAGTCTACCTCTAGTAGAATGAGCCCTGACCCCTAGTGGTGATGGGAGATCAGAAGACTCGTATGCAGTAGTTATAGCATCCACTATCCACCTGCTGAGGGTTTGCTTGTTAGCAGGAAGACCCTTCTTATAAGGACCGTATCACACAAATAATTGGTCCGACTTTCTCCACAGGGCAGCTCTGTGGACGTATGTGTCCAGTGCTCACACCTGGGGTACAGAAATGCTCTCGCCATATCAGGTGCAAACTCGAGACATGGTCTCTCTAGTGCAAACAAGTCCACCTGGGCTCGACCAAATTTCTTCTAAATCTGCTCCACTACCTCGGTGTGGAGCTTCCATTCCCCGGGCCTCAGCCCCTGTCTCGACAGGATATCTGCTCCCTGATTGAGGTGCCCAGGGATGCACACTGCCCTCAGGGGGAGCAGTTTCCCCTGGGTCCACAGAAAGATGGGGGCGCGAGGGCAGACCCCCCTGGCGGTTGATGTAAGAGACCACCAATGTGTTGTCTGTGCAAACAAGCACATGATGGCCTCTCAGATCTGGGAGAAATTGCTTCAATGCTCGAAACACGGCCAGCATCTCCAGGCAGTTGATGTGCCACATGAGATGGGGGCCTTCCCACAGACCTTGGGCGGAGCGGCCACTCATGACCGCTCCCCAGCCCGTGAGGGAGGCGTCCGTCTACAAGGGGCGCGAACGCAGACCCCCCTGCCGATTGATGTAGGAGACCACCGATGTGTTGTCTGTGCGAACAAGCACATGATGGCCTCTCAGGTCTGGGAGAAAATGTTTCAATGCTTGAAATACTGCCAGCATCTCCAGGCAGTTGATGTGCCACATGAGATGGGGGCCTTCCCACAGACCTTGGGCGGAGCGGCCACTCATGACCGCTCCCCAGCCCGTGAGGGAGGCGTCCGTCGTTAGCGTTACGCGACGACATGGAGCCCCCAACACAGGGCCTTGTGACAGGAACCATGGTTTCTTCCACATGTCTAAGGCACGTAAGCAATGCCGCGTGACCTTGCGATTTGAGACATGACTTGCTTGATCATAAGCATTTTGAATTTGAGTCTCATGACTGAGCGGTTCAACAATCGAAGATCTAGTATTGGACGCAACCCCCCATCCTTCTTCGGAACAATGAAGTAACGGCTGTAGAACCGGGACTCTCTGTCGAGAAGAGGGACCACCTCGATGGCCTCCTTCCGCAAGAGAGTGTCTACTTTTTTTTACTCCATTACCAGAGCCTGCTCGGGGCCCACCAGAGTGGGAAACACCCAATTGAATAGAGGCGGCCGCGACCCGAACTGAATCTTGTACCCTCTTTCTACAGTGTGCAGGACCCATTGGGACACATTTGGCAGAAGCTTTCACGCTGCCAGATAATGTACTAAGGGAACCAGTCTCTCGAGACTGGCCTCTGGTGTATTTAGAGCTGCTAGTTCGGTGCCCTGAAGCGGAGGACCGGCAGGAAATGGCCGATCTAGCTGCTCTAGGGACCTCCTTGGAGGTAGTGAGCCTCTCAGGACTGCTACGTTTCCGGGCGGAAGCTGAGAGATACACTCGCTGGAGATCGCTGTGCCCTGAAGCACCGGGGGTGGCAGGGGTAACGGAACGATCTCCTGAGGGCACTGAGGAGAGACAGGCACCGTATACTGAGGTGTGTACCGTTCTTCCCCAGAGGGGTCTGCCCTCAGATGCCCTGACACCTTTATGTCAGGATCTCTTGGCCGAAGCCTTCTTATTGAAAACGACGGTCCTCAGACCAGTCATCTCCTTAGACGACTTCGACCTGGAGTGCCGCCCCCCCTCCTGCCTTTCTCTTTGAGGAGGGGTGCGAGTGGCAACGCTCCGTTTTTGGACTTCTCGATGTGAGGAGCTGATACACGGCTGGGGCTGATCCCTCCTATCAGCCCCATGAGAGCGGCGAGGGAGAAAACGCTGAAATGCTGCCGCTTGTTTCTTAGCCTCCTGTAACCTGTCGACGACTGTGTTTACAGCGTCGCCGAACAGGCCAGAAGGCGATAACGGGGCGTCCAGGAGAAAGACCCTGTCTTTATCATTGATTTGAGACAGGGTAAGCCACAAATGTCTTTCTGTGGCCACCAGGGCTGCCATAGACCACCCAATAGCTCTGGCGGTCTCCTTGGAGGCTCGGAGTGACAAATCTGTGGCTCTACACAGTTCAGCGATATCATCGTTTTTTATGTCTTCTCCCTCATCCATCTCTTTCAGCAGGTCAGCCTGGTATGCCTGCAACACCGCCATAGTGTGCAAGCAACCTGCAGCCTGACCCACCGCCGTGTACACCTTACCCACCAAAGCCAAAGAAGTCCTAAGTGGCTTGGTGGGTAATACCGGGGCCTTAAGGGAAGATGCACCACCAGGAGAAAGATAGCCCGCAAGCGTATCCTCAACCCGGGGAATCCTTCCATAACCGCACTCATTCAGCCCTAACACATTAGAATAGTGAGACACATCGGGACTGAAGAGGCGGGTCGAGTATGGCTTATTCCATGATCTAGACACCTCAGTGTGCAGATCGAGAAGAGAAAGACAACACGAGCGTCGAGCCCTCTCCCGGGGCAGAAGAAACCGTTTCACAAAGTGCTTCCGTCCCCTGGGATTGAGCGTTAGATCTGGCAGGCGAAGAAGAAGAAAAGGAAGTGCCCGTCTCCATTCTCTCTGCCAGATCCATATGCGAACCCCATGATTCCATCTGGCAGAGGCGGGACCCGAAGCGCGGGGAACGCTGGCGAGAGCACCCTCCTCAAAGAGTGCTCTCTGGGAGCGGAGCGTCCGCATCGAGAGGCGAACACAATGCGGATAGTCAGCTCCCTCGAGAGCTGAGCGAGCGTGCTCCGCTCCCAAACAAGCAACGCACAAACTGTGTGTATCCCCACCCGTGATGAAAAAAGGGCAGGGAGGAATACACAGCCTGAAACGCTGCTTGTCAGACTCAACATTCTTGCCAGACTTTGCCATGATATGTTTTTGCCGTACAACAATAAATAAGACGTAACACACAGAGTGCTTACTGAACAACAGAAGCTGCCGCTGTCTCCACTGTCATCCCCGCCGGTGACGTCACCCGGGATTCCCTTGGAAGGATTACACGTGTTTCAGAGCGTGGGAACACAGGAGCGTTCCCAAAGCGTTTTGCGACGCAGCTCGAGTTCCTGAAGGGGAACTGAAAACACAGGCAGATAAATACAGAGGCAAACTACGATAATGAACGACACTAAATCATATCAATTGCCATGACAACTAAGGACAGATAGGGACTAGAACAAAGAAGACTGAACAGAAACAAACTAAAAGTCCATGAAAGTGAAATTAAGACCACCTCCCATGGCAGTTGAAGTTGGTTCATATCTGGCAAAAGTCGGACTAGCTAAATCTGTGCCATTAAATCCTCCAAACTGCTTTTTTAAAATTGGGTTGCTTGGGTTGCATTTTTAATGTTATCTTATTTTTAAAATGCTTAATATTCTCTGAATCTCTTTGAGAAATCTGAGAAATCTATTATCTTTCATGATAAACATGTTGTGTTGTCTTATATCTAATCTCACATGAGATCATGTCTTACCAGATGCTTTCTGTTTTTACCTTACACCTTGTCTGCTTTTTTCGTCTTTCCCTGTTTATGTTTTAGGAGGTGTATGTTGGGAAAGAGACCATCTGTACAGTGGACGGCCTTCATTTCAACAGTTCATACAACGCTCGAGTCAAAGCATACAACTCTGCTGGCGTGGGAGCGTACTGCAAGGTTGTTGTTCTGAAGACATCTGATGGTGGGTGTTTTGGTCGTCTGCTTCACACAGTTTCTTTCATTCACATTTAATAGGGTCTCTGAGAGTTCTTAAAGCTTCTTTTCTATCTATGACGCTCATGCACAGCTTCTGCATTATATATTCCCTTTCCTCCGTGGATCCCTGCTGTGGATGCATCTCTTTAATGAGTGTTTTATAGGAAAACTCCTCTCATCACTTTTTTGCCACTCTACTGATCAAACGTCCTACATAGGCTGTAAGTAGACATAGAGACTTCAATTTTAACTTCAGGTACATGGAGACTTTAAAGGTGACATATCATGAAAATCTGACTTTTCCAGGTTGTAAATGCTATAATCAGGTCCCCATGCATCTACCAACCAAGGAAACGTGAAAAAGATTAACCCAGTAACTTCGTTTTGGTAAGCCTTTTTCTGCAAGCGTCTGAGAAAACGAGCGCATCTGATTTCGCTCCCTTGGTGACGTGGCAAAGGGATCTCATTATAATATTACCGCCAATTAATCTGTAAATTTACACCCATGGCGCCGTCATTGTGTTTTCGCAAGCGACAACGGTGTACCAGCTCTAATGCCATGGCGAAAGTTTGAGCAAAACATGCTAACTGTTCTGTCTTTGGCTGCACAGACGAGCACAGAACACTATTTACAGTCCCAGCCTCAGAGGAGACAAGAGATTAGTGGATTTATTGATTTATTTAATGTATATTGCTGCTGCCACACAGATCTAAAATAAACATATTTCCCAGCTGTTTACCTTCACAGACATAACCGACTGTTTTTGTAACTTGTGTGTTTTTAACAAACTTGTGTGTGAATGATAACTTAGTTTAGTACTCACATGCTGTGACAGACGTTTTCTGTACGAGTGCATTCAGAAAACTGTATATCAGAAGTTTAAACTCAAATTGTTTAAAACGCATTATTTCAGCGCGATAAACATGATAATAGAACCAAAACAGATGTTTTAGCAGATACGAGCTGTAAAGGCGCAGCTCTATTCTGGAAAAGGGGGCGGGGAGCAGCAGCTCATTTGCATTTAAAGAAACAGGCCCGAAAAACAGCGTGTTTCTGCTTCCACCAAAAATAGGCATTTTCAAAATGATATAATAAATGATCTGTGGGGTATTTTGAGCTGAAACGTCACAGATGCATTCTGGGGACACCTGAGACTTATATTACATATTGTAAAAAAGGGCATAATATGTCTCCTTTTACTAATGATCCATATATACAATACCATGGTATTACCATCTGATAGCATCACTATACCAGGATACTAGCACTGTACTTTTTTGTTTGGTGCAGATTTGAGAAAAATGAATGTTGCCGAGGTGTCTACTCACCTCTTCTTACCAACGCTTCATTTTTGCACTCTCATCCATGTCTGTCACTGTATAAATAGGTTGTTTATTTGTAATTATGATGTTCAGATGATAGCAGAGACATTCCATTTCTCATGTGGTTACCTGCTGTTCTTTGACGCAAGCC